ATAAAACTAGGACTATTTGACTCGTGTAATTAAGAAAACTTAGCTTATTGAGAATAAGCAGTAGATCTACTTTTTTCAAATCAGAAACCGGCTGTTAGTCTGTAAATCGATTTAAGCATTTAGACTGCCTTGTTTATTGATTGTCTGGTAGAATTTGCATGAAAGCAGTCTTATAAATCACAAACTAGTTTATTTCGTTTTTAGAAATGAAGAAGTCAATGACACATTAAAAACCTAGTACGTCCCAAAAACAGCTGACTCAGGGTTGTAAGCACTAATTTTTTTTTCAAAAAGTTTGTTATTTAAAATCTCCGAAACTATTGGACTTATAATTTTTTTTTACATCATATTAAAGACTAAAAGTACTCTCCAGGAACCTCGGGTGTGTCGGTCGTTCTGTTCCACCGAGTATAAAAAGTTATTTTTAGAATTCATTGAGTTATCAAATATAAGTGCGATAATAGTTAATTTCTTTGGACTGACCCATAGATAATTTATGCTCAACATATATTAAATATATGATAAATAAATATAATGCATAATAATAAACAATAAATATAAGATAACAATATAAGTTGATTTGCACATTGTATAATTAGATAAATTGATTCCAATTTGAGACAACAAATGGTGCTATGCCAGCATGAATCGCGGTAAGAGCTCATTTCAATACGATTTATATAGTTTTGTGATTCATTAATTCAAACTTTGACTGTTACCGTTAATATATTATATGGCTAAACTTCAGTTTTTCGATAAACCCTCATTCTAGACTACGACTTTTTCACACTCAGTAAATTAAATAAATTAGTTCAAACACCCCAATACACAGTTCTAATTCATACTATAAAAAATCTCTGTACATTTCATCCATACTTTTGTGAAGAGAGAAAATTTATCCACTGCGCACACAATCAAGGACTACTATTTCAAAGGAAACATTTGTATGTATTTTTTACAAGGCGTATTGATTCTACTGCCCATTAAAATGGAAAGAAGAGCAACTGAACTATTCTATGAAGACATACGTTCTGTCTTTAGGCAGGCCTGCAATCACGTGCTCCGGTGTTGTGATTATCTGCCCCTTTTTGGCCGAAACGTTGACATGTCACGCACACTTGCTTTTCCGACTTGCACTCCGCTATTTTGTGTTAATTGCTGCCGCATCTTCCGCAGGTGGCTTTCTTCTGTCGGCACCTTTTTTCATTATGGCCATATATGTGACATCTATCACAACAAACGGCCGTAGTGAAGTCCTCCACTCGGCAGACTTCCCATCCCACGTACAGTCGGCCTTTCCCAACTAACACCCTCCGCAGTGCCGGTGTGCACGCAATGACTATAGCCGATCTATCGGACCCCTGACGGCTCTTTCTGAAAGCCAGTCGGCACTCCGCCTTCATCTTTGCTAGAGGCCACTCGGAATCGTCCGCGAAGTTCTGGGTGTACACGGCGCGGAGCGTGTTTTCCAGGTATGGATCTTTCCCCTCCAGGTCTCTTATGACCACTAGAGGCGATCTCGTCTTGAGGTCATTGACCTTTAATGAGTCAGGTATTTTATTTTATTTTTTATTTATTTATTTATTTATTTTGGGAAGACCAACAACTATAACAAATACATAGCGATTAAATAGACTATAGGAAGCCATTTACAGGTCCACACAGATGGTTTACAAACTGGTAAACAAACAATCGAATCACAATATATACTCATACTTAATAAATTTGTTCCAAATTAGGGATCACACTTAATTAATCCTTCCATCGATCATTATCGATGTAAAAAAAAACCATCCACCAATGCACGCCTTGCTTTCTCAAAACCAGTATTAAATAGGTCGAAATCGAATTCGACACATATTTTATTAAAGTTGTTACATGCACGCCATATAAAGGAATTTTGCCTATAATTAGTATTAACTTGTGGAAGATAAATAAGCGCATTTGATCTTAAGATTTTACGAGGCAGTATAATGGAAATCGAACCTAACAATTGAGGATAATCGACGACATTGGATGTGATCTTAAGCAGGAAGCAGAGGTCAGCAATTAAACGTCTTTGCTCTAGTGGTATGAGATGATGCTTCTTGCAATGGAGCAGGTAATCAGAGGAGGAAAATGGCTCGGACAGTCGGAAACATAGATAACGTAAAAATTTAATCTGAATATTTTCCAATCTAGAAATGTAGGTCGAGTATCTAGGGTTCCAAACCTGCGATGCGTATTCTAGATGACTGCGTACATATGAGCAATAAAGGATTTTCAAAGTCTTAGCCTGCTTAAAATCACGAGATACGCGTTTGATAAAGCCTAATGCCTTGTATGCTTTAGCGATAATACTGTTGATATGGACATCGAATATCATTCGCGAGTCATGAAATACACCAAGATCGCGTATGCTAGTCTCTCTTCCGAGCTGTTCGCCTCTTATGGCATAGTTGAAGATTATAGGGTTTCGTTTCCTACTATAGCTTACGAGACAACACTTTGCAGGGTTCAGGTCTAAACAATTAACGTCACAGTATGCTTCAAATTTAAAGAGGTCGTCCTGGAGGGATTGAGCGTCCATGGACGACGATATCCTAGCGAAGATCTTCATGTCATCGGCGAATGATAAAAGACTAGAGAAACTGAAGCATTTCTCAATATCATTCACGAAAACTAAAAACAGCAAAGGTCCAAGCAATGAACCCTGCGGAATTCCGCTAGGTATGTTAACCCAACTGGAAATGTAATTATTAATAATTACAGCTTGAGACCGGTTGTTAAGGTAGGATGAAAACCACCTAAAAAGATCTCCCTTAATTCCAATCGCAGATAGCTTAGAAACTAATAAATGGTGTGGAATTCTGTCAAAGGCTTTGCTATAGTCTGTGTATATAACATCCACCTGCCCTCCATTATCCATTGTATCAGCGATGGTCTCATTCAAAAGAACAAGGTTGGAAACTGTTGAGCGGCCTTTCAGAAATCCATGTTGCTGAGGACTTATTGAATGTCTAATACAAGGATATAACTGATCGTAAATTAATCCGATCGAGCCGATCCCCTCGATTAACCAAGATTCAGTAATTACTATCATATCGTAATTAGATAAACAAACATTTCTATAGAATGTCAATGTCTTAGTGCGTAATCCTCTGGCATTTTGATAGTAAACCTTTAATCTATTCATATCGTGAGCAAGCATTTTTGTTCGTGAACTGTCCACAATCGCAAAATATTAGGTTTATAAAAAATAAATTATTATAGTTTAAAACATGCATACGCAAATACTCACCTCCCACATCAATATGCACATTACTAATTAAATAAATATATGCGACGGTACATGTTCTTAATAAATACACCCAGTAACACAAATAAAGGAGGTAATAATGTTGACTTATTCCAATAAACAACTCGTCGCGTAGCATGTAACAACGATAAGCAGCTAAAATAGCAAGGAAACTAAGAAGCGAGAGCAAGATAGCCAACACACTAATGGCAGCAAACCGGTTCCGAACCAGCGAGGCGCGCGAACAGCGCTCGAGTAACAGGTTCAACAACACAGGCATTAGCAACATTTTTCGAATATAAAAGCAGTAAGCAAAGCTGATATTTGGTAAATTATTAAAGCAAGATAAATCAATGTGACAACATGAATGAGCAACTTTCAATATTTTATAGCAACACGTTAAACAATTTTGTTTAAATCTTTGACGCTGGAAATGATTTGTACATGAGACATATCGTTCTTCCTGGTGTGAATTTTCCCATATTTCACCCATACATATGAATAACCTTTTTCCTTACAGCTTGCTTTAACTTTAGACAATAACTGTTTGTGCGCAGAAGTGAGGTGATCGTTCAGGTATATTCTTTGTTTGACGTCACCGAACCCAGAAAGGTCAGATGTATTTAATAATTTGAATGAACGGGCTGCAGCTAGGAAATCCTCTTTCATATATCGATTGTTGAATGAGATAACGATGTTTTTCTCTTTGTTGTTGAAAGATGGGACACGAGCAATATAGTTGATTTGCGTCTTAGGCAAATCAAATTGTATTAATTTCGATAAATTTTCGATTATTAAAAAAAGATTTTCAGTTTTCCTCGATGGTATTCCTTTAATTTCAATATTGTTCAGCCTCGACCACTGATCTTTTACCACCAGATCTTCCTTCATACGAGATAACTCTTGGTTAGTAGACTCGAGTGCACTTCTCAAGGTATGAATTTCACTGCACTGGTTTTGAACTACTAAACATTTTTCCTCGACTTCCTTGATGCTCGCAATATTAAACTCACACGTATTCTTAAGGTCGGCGATCTCAGTTTTGATGGATTTTATCTCGTCTAACAGTTTAGGTAAGCTCAATAGTTGATCCTTTATTCCACGAATTTCGCTAAGAATCGTTTCCAAAATAGCCGGGCTTGCAGGTGATGAGGACAACTGAACAGGGGCACTCTTGCATGATTAACATCTCTATGCTGCTCGGCGATCTACTCCAAGTTTACGATATCCAGCCTCAGTAATGTTAGCGCACACAAAGTCGAAATGCTTTTTACATCCACCACACTGCACTCCATCCGTAAATAATTCGTCACAAGAAGCGCACTTCATTTTGATCGATAGTTAAAAAAGTTCATAAAATAATTAACAGTGATTAGTGATAGTTGAGTTCGTAATTAGGAAAAAAAGGTTGGTGATGTATGTAAGTTAAGTAAGCGAGTTATACGTCTTGACTATAGAAGCGCCGATCGACTACTGCTTTTAGCTTTCTCAGGTCCTCTTCTGTGTTCGTTTGGATGATCACCCCGGCATTACCCACACGCCGTAATCGGTCCACCATGATCTGTAGCGAGGCGGGGGCTGTTGAGGACTTAAGGACTCCCTTCGTCTCCTCCGAGGTCTTCATTTTGCTGCCTTCCGCCGGGTATAGGGCTATTGTCGGTCCGCCCTTCCTCGTCTTGTCCGCGTATGATACTGCTCCCGGGCATGTGCTGAAAGCTTTTACTCAAGCTGCGGCCTCCGAAGCTCTCATTGCAGCCGCCATGGCGCTCTTCTTAACTTCCTTAGCTTCCGCTTCCGCCTTCTGTACGCGCGATCGCTCTCGCTGCCAGGCCTTGCTTGCTACCTCGGCTTCCATGAGCACCGACAGCTGGGTGTTGATGGCTGCCAGGTCCGCCTTATTTAATTTGGAGGTTGGTCCTTCAACGACCCACGAAATTGTTCGCGCTGACTCATTTGCTCTCGTCAGTATTTGCCTCGACGTTGCACGAGACAAATCAGACAGGCCCGCAACAGCACTGGTATTCTCCTCATCTTCCTCCTCACCGCTCGACATCGTGGTACCGTATCCCGGCGGCGTCGAAGTCCCTCCTGACCTAGGGTTTAACTTCCTCCTTATTTTCGCGGCGGTGGTCCAATCGTCCGGCGATAGGACCCTTTTTCCAGTACCACCCTGGTGCTGCTCCGGAGTACTTGGAGTTGTCCCTGGAGCGATTGGGGACCGGCCAGGCGAAACGGTCGCTAGCACGGCCTCATATACGGCAGCGCTAATTTCTGCCGCAGATGTTACCAGAGACCGCTGGGGCGGGCTCGGGTTCCTACTTGGTTCAGGTCCTGGTACAGCTCTCGGTGTTGTTCTCCTTAGTGAGGACCTTGGTTTAAACCCATGGGGAGGAAGGGGCTTACCCCCTCCTCCTAAACTACTCATAATAAAATATTATACGAAAACTACTATTAACTACTATTACTAAATTACCAATTACTACTAAGATACTTAACTACTGATTAACTCTACTAAGATGAGCGGAAAACAGAAAACAAAAATTAAGATAAAAATTTATACGGCAACCGCGCGGGGCGCGTATCAAAGAAGTCAGTATAAAATTACTTCTACGGACGCCCGTGGACGGAAATTTACAAAAATTTTCTAAATCCTAAAAATAAACACAGATTAAAATCTAATTGTGGCAACACTAAAACGTCAATATTATACTAAATGTCATAGAGCACACCCGAAAGCTGTTACCTGTCACACGTCAACGTCAAGCACCAAGTGTCAACGTCACCTGTCAATGTTACAATGACGCCGAGTGTCGACTGACAGACGTCAATTTCCACGTGCTCACACCTGTTTAACCTCAAAATAAGGTTATGATACAGATAATTAATAGTTCTATTCAAATTGGATACTTATAATTAACAATACAAAGAAAGAAAAACAAAAGCACAAAAATGTTCGAGTCCTTATAAAATTAAAACTTAAAACTAAGTACTCCCTACGAGTAATGCGTCTCTTTCGCTGTTACACTGATTATGATTACACTAACACAAAATATTGTTTAAAGCGTCTAAATTCGCACTGATTTTACACTATATCAAATCAAACATACAATAGCAAGAGTAATTAGCAAAATTATCAGAATAGCAATCACAGAAATAGAGGAATTACTTAAAGTAGCAATAAAGGTAAGAACGCGGAGCACTTCGTATGCGTGCGCACTCGGCGTCGGCACTGAAGTAGATAGTAGATAGGGACAAACCCACCTACCTCCCATAGCCTGACGCAACCATCTTGGTTATACAGGCCGAAGCAGCGGGAGATGTGCGCGGAATGGCCTCTACCGCGCGCACTTCTTGAGTCCCTAAAAATTATTTCTAAATCTGTCTCCTTTGTCCCTATGGTCCCTCTCCCCATTCGGGGACGGACGTATACGAAAACGCCTTCGGTGCCTTCCAGGTCACCCCGTGCCTGTGTGGTACGAAGTGGTACCGCTGGCCTCCGTGTTCAGTCTTCTCTCTTCTCCTCGGGTCTTCGCCTCTCTCTCGAGGCCACTCCGTAACCTGTGCCACTCACGCGCGAAATCCCGCAGCCACCTGAAGTTCGCCTCGGATCCCACGAGGTCCGGATAGTAGACTGGGCCCACCTGGAGAGCCACTATAGCCCTCAAGAGCATCCTACGCGCTTCCCCGTATAGGCTACACTCCCACAAGACCTGATGCACGTCCTCTACCTCCGACTCACCACAAAAGCAGTCAACACAATGACGCCAAAATAACGGCTTAGCCTGCATCTACAATGCAGCAACACCACAAATTCAAAATATAAAAATTTATTGCATTGGAGCCTATTCATACAAAATATAAGGAGATTCCTTCGATTCAATACACAATCTTCGTGTCCAAGGGTATATCAAGCCAAGGAATAAGACAACGAAACTGCAACATTCCGGAACGTATAGACTAACACAAAATATTGTTAAAACTTATTCTCAAGCATGAAAGTAAGTTATGTAACCAGTAAAGTATTATACAACGTAAAATTTATACAACGCGATTTTTATGACTGAACCGGAAATTTGGAAAACTGTAATTGAAGCTGGACGACTTAATATCGACTATTACCGAATACATGTTGAGAATCACGTGCCTATACTTCAATGTTTAAAATGCCTACAGTACGGAGTACGGACACACCACCAAATAATGTACAAAAAAAAGCACTTGCTGCTCTCATTGCGCCTCAAAAACACATAGTTTCAAAGAATGCCCAAATAAAACTAATAAAGAGAAACTTAAATGTCTAAATTGTGAAATTCATAACATTAAAACAAATATACCATTGAACTCAACGAAAATAACCCATAGTGCAACATCAAAAACATGTCCTAAATACATACACATATTAAAAACAGTTGAACAGAAAATAGATTATGGATACTAAAACACAACATAATATTATTAGCGACAAAACAATACACACTAAGAATATAAATAACATAAAAATAATACAATGCAATGTGGACAAATGCTACAATGCGCATCATGAACTTTAATTATATAATAACTAATGATTTTAAAATAGCTTTAATTAGTGAACCCTATATTGGAAATAGTAATCATGTTCGAAATATTGCCGGATACCATATCTACCAATACCATGATAGTAATAATAAAACAAAAGCCTGCGTCATCATAAAACAAGATTTTGGAACAGTTCTTGGTGTACCTGAATACTCCTCTGCAAATCTCAGTATAGTACAATTTAGAACCAATACTAAAACATAATATATCACAAGCGCTTACGTTGAACCAAAAATAGATAGCAACGACACTTTAAATAAACTGGACTACTTCCTTCATTGCACTCAAAAATATAACCACATTATTGGTGGCGACTTCAATGGCTGGCACCAATTATGGGGTTCAGCCAAAGCTAATAAAAGAGTACAAGAAGTTTGCGACCTAATAGCACAAAGCAATATGGCTATAATTAACAGTGGAAATGAACCAACCAAAAACTCATACTTGGAGTAGTGAGAGAATCGATAATAGACCTAACAATAACATCTAATAACTTATGCAACAATATTACGGACTGGATAGTGGAGCCTGATGCATGTCAGCAATCTGAGCATCAAGTGATTACCTTCAAGATCAATCTAAATAAACAAAAAATAAAAAGGAATAAAAATACATCTACATACAAATACAACACTAAATCAACAGATTGGAAACAATTCATCAATAAACTACAAGTTTCTCGTATGTGTAGAGCTTACAATAACATTAGTAAAGACTTGGACATTTTTTCCCAAAACTTACCCATTTTCTTGCGCACGTGTGATCTTAAAATAAATTCATAATAATTGCCTGTGTTGTCTAATATAAGTTGTATTCTTGAAGTGTTGTGCGTAGCTATAATCGGGGGACAAACTTAGTTTTAAACTATAACATTTTGTAATATTGTATTGTATGGTTTGTTTTCTGTAGCTGTGCCTTTTATAAATAAATAAAAAAATAAAAAAATAAAACAGAAACCCATATGGTGGACTGAAGAAATAGAATAACTAAAACTTAAATCCATACAACTACATCACCGATTACAACAACTCAAACGAAGCAATAAGTCATTACAAAATATTATTATACAAAGAGTACTCTAATACTATACAAAAAGCATCAACTGTGAGAACTTTAAACAATTTTGTACTCTTCAAGGAAAGGACAACGTTTGGTCTCTTACCAAGAAATTACTAAAATTTGCCCCAAAAGAACAACCCCAATACACACTAAAAAAGGAAAACGGAAGTTATACGAAAGACGCAAAAGACACTGCAATTACTCTATTAAATAAATTCTACCCAGATGACGACCCTTCAAAAGACAATCTACAACAGAAAGAAATAAATAACAACATGAAACAATCTATACAAATAACGACAAAGAATTTACAATAGACGAAATATTGCAATGCATAAAAATAATTAAATCTAATAAAGCTCCAGGTAATGATCACTTAACAGCAGATATCTTAATGAAATTCATAGACAAATACCCTAAAATGATAACTGACCTAATGAATCGATGCCTTGGATTGGGATATTACCCATCTTGTTGGAAAATCACCATATTCAAACCAATACCGGAACCGAACAAGGAGGACTGCAGACAAATTAATTCATATAGACCTATTGGATTATTGGATATACTTGGTAAACTGTTAGAAAAACTAATCGCCCGCAGAATTACTTAGCACATAGATACCAAACAACTAGGAAATAAAATGCAATTCGGATTCAAAGCCCAAACGTCTACTAGTCACGCACTTAACACAGCCTTAAATAAAGTCAGAGAAGCTAAACTGCCCAAAAAGCAAGTTGTTGCTATATCTCTTGAAGTCAAAGGTGCTTTTGACCATGCCTGGTGGCCTCTATTAGTCAAACGTTTAAGTATACTTCAGTGTCCTAAAAATCTCTACCAAATTATACAGAACTATTTAAGTGACCGTAAAGTTAAAATAACCTATGCAGATGAAGAATTCATCAAGGATCAAACAAGAGGATGCATACAAGGATCTGTGCTTGGCCCAATTTGTTGGAACATAATCATGGATGAAGTTCTAAACTACAAATATCCCTTAGGCTGCCACCTTCAAGCTTACGCCGATGACCTCTTACTAATAGCGAGTTCTAAAAATGTTTCGAATCTTCAACAAATCATACACACAACAATTGATGATTGGATTGGATTGATAACAATGCAAAGCTTGAAATAGCCCCAGACAAAACACAAGTAATAGCATTCACTAATAAAGCCAAAAACATAGAAAGAAAATTAAACAATAAACCATTAGATTTTGTAAAAGAAATTAAATACTTAGGAATTATAATTGACAGCAACTTGAAATTCATCAGTCATACTAATCACGTCATTAAAAAAGCTCTAAAAATCAATAAAATATTAAACATATATATCAGACCTACATGGGGAATTCAGTCAGAAAATGTGAGAACAATATACAACATGGTAATTCAACCTATTATAACATATGCTGCT